CTTCATTCTCTGGAAGCTCCAAAGAATTCCTACTCACCTTGGTGAAATCCCCCCGGGTCCCCATAATTGATGGTTTCAGTACTATATCCCCACATTTTTTTTTATTGCTAGCGGGGTGGTACTAAGTCCCTTGTACTGCGGCCACTTCCGGCCTATTGTACCAGCCACAGATGACAGGTGAGGGCAAATGTGGAGCAAATGGTGGAATGAAGATTGGCAGGGGAAACCGAAGTACTCGGAGAAAACCTGCCCCAGCGCCACTTTGTCCACCACAAATCCCACTTGACCAGACCCAGGACTGAACCCGGGCCACCACAGTAGGGAGCCAGCGACTAACCACTTCAGCTATGGCACAGCCATACCCACATATTACCAGCAGCAATAACACAATGTTTATTGTCTGCCTGCCAATGGCAGTGCTGAGTGATACATACCTACCTACCTACCTACCTACGTACCACTCGGCGCTAGAGCTCTGGGTTAGCCTTGGCCTCCTCTACAACCAGTCTCCACATCCAATGCATGCTGCCATAGGAATGGACCCACGCATGATAACCCGAGGCTGGTTGTTAGGTTTCTGAACAAAATTCTTTTTACAGGATGAGGTTGTGAGCCTCATGCCCAACACCCAACCTGGAGGACCAGTACTGAGTGATACAGTCAATTATTGTGTGGTTCCAGAAAGTGAGGTACAAAAGTAGGGTGGGTCATTACTCACATGACTACGCAGCTTCTCAAGTTGCTCCCGCTCGAGCTGCTCACGTCTTTTCTGTGCCAACTCCAGCTTGCTCTGAATCTGAGACTCCAACTCGTTCATTTTCTTGAGCATTCCTGCCTGAACCCGCTGCACCTGCTCCTCCTGTCCAGTGGACATACTCACCACTCAACAAATACATGCAACAGTGCTTCATGTTCTTGTTCAAGCATAATGGAACTTTGCTAAGAGGATGTGCCATTGCATAACGAAAATTACACTACCAAAATCCTAGTTTCATGGAATTGTGCACATCTACAACAGCAACACGCCTCATTCAAAACTAAATGTACCATATTGCAACCCTTTCTCAACCAGTCTTCTACAGGAAGGTGAAGCAGAGATGCCTCACACATACACTCAACTCTCAATTATCTGGGGGCGGATTAACCGAGCTTTTTTTGGGGCTTATATGTTGTTTAATATTCATTCACTTTTGTTTCACATTGTGAGTTGTAACACTATTTTCACACTAGTGTGAACCGAGCTCAGCACTTTTTGGTCCCATTATGCTAACACAATGTTCTAGGGTAGGGGTGAAAGAATGCAAGTTTTTTTGGAAAGATTCAAGGACAGATACACTGCCCCAATTAGTCTCTTTGTATCGATTTTTAAGTGCGTTAGCAAAATGTCAGGGTGTAAAAGGAAGCGTGTTGTGTTAAGTATTCAACAGTAACTCGTGTGAGTCGGGCTTCGAAATGTTAAGCAGTGACGAAATCATAAGTTAAGTGGGGGTGCAGTCAGAAGAGCAGGAAGAAACTGAGAATGAGGAAGAGGTGGACAGTGCTGCTAGTAAGAAAGTATCACATGGTGCTGCTCTTAATCATTTGGAATCCTTACTAGACTATCTTGAGAATGAAGAGAACAGTTTATTAACTAACAAGCTAATATTATGTAGGTTTCATACGGATATCCGTAAAAAGGAAAATGCTGCGAAAAAGCAAACGACAATGTTAAATTTTTTTAAGTGTTAAGCGTGAATATTCGTAAAAAGTGTTGGATGTTGTTGAACACTGTGATTGAAATAACTAATTCATACTTCAGTGTAATGTAAAAAGTATTAAATAGGCCATGAGATGACATAAAAATGAGGTTGAATAAATTTAAATACAGGTAGGCCTATAGTATTATGAAGGTACAGTATTACAGTACTACTTTTAATAAAATTTGTCTTAACCGGGTTTTCGATTAATCGTGATTTCCATCCCCACCATTATCCCGGATAATCGAGAGTTGAGTGTATTTGCAGAAACCTATATTCTATTTAAGCATCTTGTTACATTCCACACTTCTATATGTATAATACAAACTCCGTCGTAAATGCAAAACTTTATTGTAGTTCTCGTCCCCTTTCTTTCACATTACATTTTAGTGGCAACCAGCCATCATCAGGTGTATTTTAGTTCATGTAGCTGTCACACTGCACTCAATATTAACATTTAACCTCCAGATTTCCAATTGTTCATTGCTCTGTCGTCAATCGGCACCCAATATTCCAGAACTCCCCTTGTCGGTTTTGTCAATTATGTTTAAAATCTTTATTAATATTGACTCATTGATTGGTTTAATATTTTAAATTCTCAATTTAGCTTTAAACCCGTTGGTTTACTAGTAGCAAGCAGCAGCAGCAGCCAACTCTGTCAGCGATCGCCAGCGCTCATCAGGCTAGCCAGCCTTGCCACAACTAGCACTGACTAGCCTGCTGCTGCAAGAGCTTCACCCAGCATCCTGCAGGTTTGCAATCACCGGGCTGCTGCAAGGAAGAATGTTATCACCAGCTCAGGCTAGCCCGCTATGAAGGACGTTTTGAGAGTATTCATCAGGCATGCTCTGCTTCCCTGATCATCTGTAATTCATTCTAACAGCAATGAATGTGTTATAGTTTTTTGTGGATGTCTCTCTGCACCACTGGATTCAACATCCCACAGAACAAATGCAAATCACCGGCTTCAGATAGTAAGATAAAATTCTATACCTAGTGAACAGAAAATTGCCACTGCGGTTTCAAAGACAATCGTAACCAGTCACTTCATGAAGCCACTAATGACTTAAGCTCAAAAGAATGCCTTACCCTTTGAACAGTCACACATGATTTAGTGTGGAAGAAAATACTGAAAACAGTGTAAGAAACAAATCCAAAGAAATATTTGCAACATTTTCTAGAAATGTTCCCAAAACATTGATAGCATTTATTCCAAGACATAAAAAATAACAAGAATCATTCAATTTCAATGATTGGTCTTATCCTTCAAGAACACAAGCTTTTTCACAACCAGAGACATTTAGCCAAAAATATGGTCAAGGATAAAATTCAGGAAACGACAAAGGTAAGAGATGAAAATACTTTTCAGAATGATGATGTTCCTGTAGCAAACATAGATAAATCACAGCTTAACCTTTAAACGACTAAAGACACCGTATGTCGTCGCAGATATNGCAATTGAAAATTTATTTGCAGAATAACTACACCCATGATCCTAGAAATATAATTTCTCACAGATCAACCTAATTCATACCTGGCTGTCCCACCAATTGCTAGAAAGAACAAGGTGGTTCAAATATGACCGGGACTGATTAAAAAAAAATATAATTGCCAAACACTTACTTGCACATGTCAGTCTTCAACGTACTCCCCCCCGGAATCAACGCATTTTTTCCAACTTTCTGGAAGCATCCTGATGGGGGAGGGGAAGTGGTTGGCGGGTTATCCACTCCCGAACAGTCTGAATGACGGCATCATTGTCCACAAACCACATGCCTTGCAAGTCTGATTTGAGCCTTCTCAACAGGTAGAAATCACTTGGGGCCAAATCGGGACTGTACTGCGGATGTGTCAGAAGGTTCCATTTCCATTTCCGAAGGGTTTCCATTGTTGTTTTGGCCGTATGGGGGGTGCATTGTCTTGAAGGAAGGCTACCCGCTTTCCACCTCTCTTCCATTTGGATCGGATCTTTTCCTTCACGTCTGTTGCCAGGGGGTCTGAGTAATAAGCTGCATTGACTGTTCTGGCATCTGTCAGAAAGTCTACATGGATAACCCCCTGCCAGTCCCAGAAGAACGTTTCCATCACTTTTCCTGCCAAACCGTTCCTCCGCGCTTTCTTGGGTTTGGGAGAACTGGTATGCCGCCACTCGACTGATGATTGGTGGGACTCGGGAATGAAGTAGTGCACCCACGTTTCATCGGTGATCACTATAGACTTCAAAAAAGCATCACCTTCATTTTCAAACTGCTGTAGGAGACAACTGGCAGCTGGCATGCGCACCATTTTGTTCACGTTCGTCAAAGTGCGTGGTACCCACCGTGCATTCACCTTGAGATAGTGCAGGTGGTATTTCACGATGTCTTCTACACTACCAACACCGATGGACAGCACTGCTCCAAGTTCCTTGATAGTGATGTGCCTATTCTCACGAATAAGTGAGTCTGCATGATCAATGTTTGGCTTGGTGATGGATGTTCACGGCTGACGATCATGCGGTTCATTCTCCACGCCCTCTCTGCCTTCTCTGAAGCACTTACACCACTCAAACACACGGGTCCGTGAGAGACACTCTTCCCCATACTGTTGTTGGAGTCTGTGGTGAATTTCAGAGGACTGGACGTTTTCTCCAACGGGGAATTTGATCACAATGTGTTGTTCCATGCTCCGCGGTACCTTCTGTACGCTCATCCCTCTAGCAACTCCCAGACAGCACTGAACAGGTTCAAACCCTAACAGGAGGGAGAGTGGAGGTTGTGGCTACAATCTCTCAAGGTCGCACAGCTGCTGCGCCGTGCGGCTTGTTTACAAAAAAAAAAATCAGTCCCCGTCATATTTGAACCACCTAGTATGATACTCCATATGGTCATGGGAACTCGGTCAAAGCTGCCACAAAACACCTGTCTATCCGACACAAGTAAAAAGTGGGTTAACTGTTTTCTACAGAAAGGAATGTAGTGACCTCAAAAAGAGAAAATGCACCTCCTACTAATTCTGAAATCCTACTTATTTAACCATTTACACAATTTGTGTCAACTACTGACAATTTTTTCATTAAATCGCTCAAAATGTATGAAATTGCTTTCCCTACCCCAGCACAAGACATCCACCACCAGTTTCTTAACCCAGCATTTAAATGATTGAATAAGAACACATAAATAATAATTTAATGAGAAAGTTATCACTTTTGCTTGAATCTGTGTGCAATTAACGGTATATGACTTAACTATGTTGAGTTTAAAAATGTTTATCTTCACACAGCCTTACTTCCAAAGAAAAAGATCTGTGGTGGAAAAAAGTGGTACTGGAGCAGGTTTTACTCAGTTCTTCAGTTTCCCCTGCCAATTATCATTCTAATGCTCCATATCCACAAATCATTAGGGGTCTGTAGAAACGGTCCATTTGAGGCTGCAGTTAACAAGGGGCGAAGGTTCACATCGTGCCTACTATTAACAATATTGAAGACAAACTTCAAGTAAGATGCTATGTTGTTCTTTAGCATTGAGTTTCTAAATGATACCAAAAGAAATGTAAAGCACTCTTTTCTCTCATACAACCATCTTCTTCACAATACTATGCAGCTTATTTTTCCTGATCTCAATCTGAAGTGTAAATTTAAACCCTGAACAGTAGTATTAGCATTACATATCACACCACAACTTTCAGGGGTCATTGCTTCTTTAAATTGTCTTGTTTATTCTAACCCACATTGCGAAAACTTGGTCTATTCACAGAGTACTTTACCACATCTATTATGATTTTCCCCAAACATTCCTCACAAAAACTGAAGTATCTTATACTTGTGAAATAAGAAATTAACCAGTTTGGGTAAATCTTCCATGCACTATCCATTCTTCTACTAGGAGCAATCAATTCTTATTCAATGTCCAAATGTAGACTTGAATGCACACCACTTTTCACAAAGTCCCATTTTGCATGAAACTTAATTTAGCTTAAACATAAATTACAGCTAGCATTAAATGTGGGCATATGAAATGAATGCACTAAATGTATAATTTAGCATAATGTAAGGTTAAGAACTGTTAAGCTTCTTCTAGCAAGCAGTGCACACACACATATAAACAAAAAATGAAGCTTGTGTCATAACACAAATCAAATTCATGGTTTATAAAAGGGTCTTAAAATATGTACATACATGGCTCCACTTATGATCTCATGTCATGTCAGGTCAGCCCCTTGTCACTATGGCATGGGGCATCCTCAGGTTGAAGATTGGGAAGATGGGTTCCTGATACGGTGGGTAGCTGCCAATATATTGAATAAGAGGCTGTGGACTGCCCACAAGAGGTGGTCCTCCAGTTTAGTTGTTGGGCATGGGACAAAACACTCACCATAAAAAAAAACTTGTGACGAAATATCACAAAGGACTTTGGACAGATTCTTTCAATAAATGACCTAACATAAAAAAAATTGGATGTGATATAGTACGTGGAATGTAAGAAGTCATGCTCACACGAATCATGTATTGTTCATACGAAACTAAAGTAGGAAGGAAAAAAAAAGTGAATGCATTTCATTTGATATGATCAAAGTGGTTATGTTTCTAAAACCTGAGTTTAACCTATGATTTATAACAGTTCCCATGTGAGGAAACAAAAGACCCAAACAGTGACTGATTTTCATAAATGAATTAGGACTTCCACAACAACTCAAAAGTAATATTAAAACTGAAATGAACCAGTACTGATGGAATAAACTGGCAGTGCAGTAGCAAGCAGCAATTAGGGCATTAAGCTTTTACTCAAACCGCTCCATTTACATTTTCTTTGGTGTAATTTCATGCTCAACTAAAAGCCACAGCATATGATGGGGTACCCAAAAGAAACCGTACTAATTTTTTTGTGGGCAGAGCTTTTGTAGTACCGCATTTTGCCGCTATGAGCGCATAGAGCTAACGTTCCTGAGTCGATAAGCCGACTACCGTTGCTTCAGAAGGTAAGGACTAGTTTCGGCAGAGTTTATAGTGACAACTGTTTTGTGTGATCATCATTTTTGCAATGGCTGATTTTCGTGAACAGCGTGCGGCGGTGATATTCTGCTGGAACAGAGACTCTTGAAATGTTAAAAATGGCGTACAAGGACAATGCTATGGGGAAAACTCAAGTGTTTGAGTGGTTTTCCTGTTTCAAAAATGGTGAAATGTCAATTGATGACAAACCTCGTTCTGGTCGTCCTTCCACGGCCCGAAGACATGAAAATGTTGAAAAAAATCGTGAAATCATCAAGGAAGATCGACGACGGACCATTGAAGAAATTATGGAGCTGTCGGGAGTGACTTGGAGCTCAGTTCAGCAAATTTTGACAGAAGATTTGGGAATGAAAAGGGTGGCTGCGAAATTCGTGCCACGACTGCTGACTGCTGAACAAAAACAAGGTCCTTTCCTCCCCCTCTCCCACACTACTGTTTTCACTTGAATACTTGCCCTTCCCCCTTTCCTTCTCTGTTCTCACATAGCTGTGTATATTTCCAACACCAGTCTGCTTTTACCGGTTCTCACGGTCTCTTCGCTTGCAGATTTCTTATATTTTTTTCTTCTACCCTGAAGATGGAGGCGATACGTTCCTCCGAAACGTCGGTTAACACCACATATACACGGTGCTAAATCCCAAAAGACTGCTTTCTTCAAAAACAAGATCGCATAGAAGCATGCTGTGCTTTGAAAGAAGAGTCCCTAAATAATGTTATATTTTAGCGTCCTGTTGCACTGATTTAAGTCCATGATTTATTTCAACTGTCTTCCAGTGCATACACTCACTTATCTCCTCCTCTCACTCGCACTACATGTTTCGGCACGAAAGTGCCATCTTCAGGTGCTATTCGATTTACGCTAAACTAGTTCATTGCATGCCTTGTCGTCTTCATATTAAAATATATATTTATCATATATATTGATAAATGTTAAAAATATTAAAATTGTTCAGGATTTTTCATCCCTACGTCGTATCTCACTACGCGAGTCACACCTATCCTCTTCTGTTGGAGCACTCTTTCACTNCCTTTTGTACTGCATTATGATACAAATTTTCTCAAAACCTCATTACAATATGATTACTGTAAAGTCGTCCATGTTAAGTACCAGACTATGAAAACTTATGGAGGAGCAAATGTATACTCCATCATTCTCAACATTGGCACTAGATGGAAGTGAGCGGTCAGATTCACACTCCATCTGCTTTACCCCTGGTGAAAAAAACCCTTGGTAACCATTGGGCAGGAGGCTGGGTGGGCCCCAGAGCCAGTCTCGACACTGTGGAAAAGGGAAATATCCAGTGTCCCTGCCTGATATGTGCCCTGTGGAACAGACTGACAACACCAGATGAACATGACCAACCATTTCCCAATACTGGTGTCTAATCAAGAACTTGTGGGCTTGATAACATCATCAGTCACCAGACAAAACAGGATTATGTTGCACTGCAGGGCTCAAGTGACCACAGCACATAATTTTTGTGGGAGAATTCTGATAAATGTCACTTCACACCAACCACGTTTGGTCATTTTCAAGTTATTCTGTCATTCCTATAACCAAGAGAAGCATGGAATTATGGGCACAGCATTCCATGGAAAATATATGTTATGATCTATAAAATGTAAAGGTAAAGCTAACCCTGCAACAGACCCTGAAGGCCCTTAGGCTTGTGAGGCATTGAGGCTCCCACATTTTCTAGACATTCGGCTTATGGATGGCGGTGAGGTTGTTAGCCTTGAGCGCTGGCCTCTCCTTAACGCCCCGTAGCATTAGGTAAACTGAAAAAATTAAATGGCCTCATCGGGACTCAAACCCACGACCTTCCAGCTTGTAGCATAGTGCCTCAACCATGCTACTGTGTGACCCGTTATGGTTTATAAAGTATGGGTTTTTAAGATCCAGTGGCACAAAGCTGTACCATGGATGCAAGAAAAGAAAGGAAATTTAACAGTAGGAGAGGAATGACATGAAGATCATATATGTTCAAGGAGATAATGGAAAACGTTTCATGATAACCATGCAATGAGAGGAAGGAAAAGTGAAGACACAGTGACAGTATGGTTGAAATGAATTAAATGAGTATGAAAAGCCCAGAACCTCATGAGATCATAAAAGAACCACAAATACACCTGTGGACAGAGAAATCTAGTTGACATTCTATAAAAAGAGGCATTAACAGTTTCCCATATCAACTTCATTAAATGCAATATAGTATGGATTGATGAAGACAGGACAGATATCAGCATTATGTGAAGCCAGTGACTAGACTGAGAGGCATACAGTGCAAATCCAGCAAGTATATTCCTCAAACAAGAACCAAGCATAATGCAATTATGGCATGCTTCATTACAAACCTGCATCCATATTAAACAATTCTCTTCTACACTTTTCAGATCCTTCTATAAAATCAAGAACTGTTACAGTATGTTGCTAACTCACATGTTCCTTAAGCCTATCCAACATTTTCTTTTTGTACTCATTTCGCTGAGCAATAGCTGTTTTGTACTTCTCCTCAACTGCATTTCTTACTTCATTTCTCTGCATTTCTAGTGACAGTCTTGTCTTCTCCACACTCTCTCGCTATAAGAAAAAAAATACAACTACAAACTGAATATCCAATTAGCAAAGGAAATTTCCCAACATCATGTGTTACAATATACGGAGCCATGAACCAAAATTAGTGCACAGGAACTCTTTTATAGCAGTAACTGGATTAGTAGAGATCAGAAAATGTTACCAGATTTTGATGCTATACTTAAAAAATCTAATTGAAAACCCTGAATTGTATATAGGTATAATAAAAAGAAAAGTGATGACTGATAGTTGAAAACTAATTAACAAAGTAAAGGTAAAAGGCAAAGTCATACCCGTGACCACAAACTATGCCACGATGTCATATAAAAATAAAGCTCCATGTTTCTAGATCTGGCAACAGATGCGAGCAATAAACTTAATGATTCAATAACTTAATCATAAAGGCTAGAACACCAGTACACACTGAACTGGGAGGCCAGTCTGAATATATGAACAAAGCTAGAAAGCGGTATATACAAATCTTCAGACACACAAAATATACAAATATGATGCTTAATACTCACATCAGAATGTATTTATGAATAAACAATGAACTGGAGAAATAAAAATAAGGAATACTTTTTAATAAAGTTTATCACCTCAACCCCTGAAAAGCCCTCCATATAACCACATTTCTGCTACTAGAAAAAATATATTCATACTTTGAAACAACATTTTGACACAGGGCCACTTTCTGGGGAAAAAGAAAAGAAAACATGTCTGGGAGGTATTCATATAACCACTTTCTTATTGTAGAGATTTACAGTCCATGACACAATGAGCTGTTAGTGTCATGTTTAGAGAATGGGAAATTATAACAACAGTAAAATGCAATTTAACTCCTGGGTTAGCATGCTAGACTCATGCACAAACGGTCATACATTAAAATTCTAATGAAGTCAGAATTTTTCATCCCTTGCAACTGCAAATACAGCATGTTAAACTCAGCAGCAGCATTGGCAGAGGTGGAGATTTTGTCCACATTAACATGGTCAAACACAAGTTCAAAGTTTCACACTCTCCCCAAGCTTTTAACTAGTGACTTACAACCAATTATGAGGGATGGAGAAATTTGTATACTATTACACAAAGCAAACACAGTTATCTAGAATTTCCTGAAGTTTTAAACTGAGAAATCAATGTTCAAATCAAGATAAAGAGTTTTTCTCGATTCAATATCGATAACTCAAGACTCACATGTCCATTTTATGCCAGTTTAGTCAGAGAATGATTAAGAGTGAAACCTTTGGTTTCATGTTTGATGAAGAATCTGAACTCTGAAGATTTAATTTAACTTTCAGTTCAAGCATGCCTAATTCATCTTCCCTTTATTTAGATATACAAATGGCGAAGTGTATTTATTGGATTCTAAAGATCTAGAATAACCAAAGGCAGATAATCTTATTTCTATCTAAAATTAATACTTTAAAACCACAATTCCCAGAGTGGCGAACCATTTGGGGTTCAAAAAGTATGATGTTATGTCCCAACTAATATCCAAGTAACTTCCAGAAAGTTCTAATTTCATATCAGGAAGTATGAAAATAAAGACAAAAATATTTCACGTAGAATTTATAATCTATGACATCAAACGTTAACTCCATTCAACTGAACCAGTGTCCCTACCTCATAAGTCATGCCACCACCATGGTACTGTTAATGACAATTTTAAAAGGTAAAGATCTCCAATAGTATGGTGTTTATACAAAATTTTACATCCTGCACTGGAAACCCTCAAGTGGTGATAAGAACGTTAATTTACACTGAAGTAAGCTAAAATTTACCTTCACTAGCCACATTAGCAAGTAAATCTTTCCAGTATGAACAAAGAACAAACAGACTCATTTCTTGCTAGATTCTGCTTGAATGAAAGTTTATTTCACATTTTTAATCAAAATTATGTTCATAAAATACAATCATACAACAGATATTACTAGTTATAATGCTCGATAAAATGACTGCAAAATGACAATACAAGTATCCGCCTGTATTTACAATCTCACTTCAAGTGATTTCATTTTAAACAATTGGTGTCATGATGCGTGAAGTAACTGTGATGACATTATCCAGGAAATTACATAAAGACAGGCAAGTTCCAAGCTGCATGTTACTGATCATTCAGGACTAGGGGGAAAAAAACTTGTTCAGCAAGCTGCAAGTTCCTGACCCAGATCCAGAAGTTCCACTGTTTGCTGAAAAGTACTCAATGATTTGAACTCTATAAATGAAGGCATTGATTTCACAACTTTAGGAAGTGAGAGTTGCCAATCCACTGATTTGGATCTTTCAACTTCTGCAACACAACCTGCCCTGTGTCTTCATTCCTGCCAGCATCCCTTGGATGTTACTGGACAGTGCCACCTAAAAGGGCACCTATCCAAACTAGGACTGACAGATGACCCAACTAGTAAAAGGTGCATACAAGAAGATGAATCAGCCACACACATCTTATGTGATTGTGAGGCTATAGCTTACTTAAGATTTCGCCACCTGGGTGAATTCTTCATGGAACCAAGTGACTTTTATAAATAAAATCCTACATTTAATTCGAAGTATAGGATTAATTGAGGGTTAATCCAAAGGGGAAGCACAATAGATCGTTGAAGGTTGCAGTGCAAGGGGCAGATTTTATGGCTCACCCCTCATACTCATCCCTTGGGTGTGACACGCACAATAAACAGCATTCATATTGTGACATGCCCACTCAAAGCCAGGATTACAGAACCAGAGAAGATGTCCATTGTTAAGCTATGGCTCTGTAAACATGTTTCCCAAAAGATGTGATTGCTGTAACAGATACACAAGCAACCATAGAATCTTGTAGTGGCGTTCTCTATTGGGTCCATGCTGAGGCTATAGCCTGCGATAGTGAATGGTAGCCAGTGGTGGCCTAATGCAGCTTAGAGTCAACAGCCAGGAGTTATAACTATAAGTCAAGTTGTGAGACAGTCGCCAGGCAGTAAGGATGCAAACACAGAAGCCAGGGACTCTACGAAGTAGGAACAATTAACTGGCAACACCTACTGAAGCCAAAGAAAGCTCAGTGAGAGCTGTACTGAAATGTAAAGTGTGTGAATTACTGAAACAGTTATAATTACTTCTAGTTACAAGTTGTAAGAGTCCAACAAATCTGATTACCAATCCCAACACCATATCTAGTCACTTAACAGAGGACAATATTGTGGCATGACAACTGAAAGCCAGAACAGATTTACAAATCAATGCGGCCACTGCTAGGCAACGGCGCCATACACACGTTATTGGGAAATGTGGACTCAGTGCGACACAATAATGAACATGTTGTGGGTAAACCATTCCCTGTGGTGACGCAACAGCAGAGGATCTGTGTTAGGCAGCACTTCCCTGCTGTGATGTAACACTGGACCCTACTGCTGTTAGGGCAACAGGCAACAGAATAAGAAACCAGCCGAGGACCAAGCATGGCAATGGGTGTGTTGTGGCAAGACAGACAGCAGTGGAAGGCAGTGTGTGCTGACAGAAGACAGTGTGTGTTGAAAGAAACCAGTGGTTAGCCAGCACAGAGAGATGGACAGTTCTACAGTATAGTGAGAGTTGTTAATAGAAAAGGAGCGACTGTGAAATGACTTGTTCAACATTTTGTGGCATAGTTACAGCGTTGAGTAAAAAAGTGATGTCGCAATATACTTTTTGAGTGCTTGTTACACAAAATTTTTGGTGCCGAAACCTGAGAGAGGGATACATACGATAAATTTAGACTTCAATACTTCGAGACAAAGGAGAAATCAGACGTTAACTTGGATCTGTCAATATTTGCAACTTCTGACTTTTGACAGACCCCAATACAGATGATCAACCAGTTTGTTAGATTGTACTTGGAGATAACCTCACAACTAGTTATGGCGGATAGTGAACTCCGAAGGCTGAAAATGAAGCACTCCACAGCAAGGTTCACTACACTTATAATGGAATCCGCTGCCAGCACCCCACTTGAGGATTATGAGTACTACTACCTAGGCTGTCTACGGGAGACCCTGGATCAACTACTTTCATTGGATAACGATTTCCAGGATCATTTAGAAGAGAGTGAATACACAACTGACGTGTAGGTCTCTGATGAATACATCCGACTCAGAAAAGTGAGCACTTCTGAAGGCCAAGCGGGAGACAGAGAACCGACTCGTCTTGACAGGAGAGAATCTTAACCATAAGACTGACAGATTGGAAGATGCGTATTGAGAAACTAAAGGCCAAAGAAGAAATGCGGAGAAAATTGGAAGCAGATAGGAAAGCCTGGTGAGAATAGATGGCCGCCAGCCACAAGGAAATGGTGGCCAAAATCAGACCCGAAACAGATGAAGAGATGATGGCCTGCCAAGACATGATGGGAGCATGTCTAGAAGAGGATAAGCTGACCTCAGTGGGTACGAAACCTGAAGTGGCCCAAAAGGAAGAGGTCCCCATAGAAAATGTCATAGTGAAACAGGCAAGTAGACAGAAGAAGCGGCATAGGGGCAAGAAGCAAGCTGCAGGGCGAGGTGGAGAGCAAAAGGAACTGACCCAAGGAGATTGTGGATCTCAGAGGATATTGGCTGCTGCCTGCAGGAAGGTGTCCCACCGTGCAACAGTGGCATGATATAGGAGAGATGCCTTCAGAAACAACAGACCCAAAATCAGGATGGGTGCCAGAAGAAATGTGTCACCGCACGTGGAAGAATGACTCCCTGAGCAGGAGTGGCACGGCGCAAGGGACACACTGTCGGTAAGAACCAGACTAGGAACAACATTGCAAGAGGAGCCCTGAGATGGTAGACATTCGGGGAAAGACTTCAGGTGGATTCGAAGGGCAGCAGGCACTTAAAAGGAACACAGGCACAAGACAGCAGCTGCTTCTGAAGATCGAGAGGGGAGCAGATGAGCTTCTCAGGAAAGCTTGAGAACTGCAGTTCGGGAAGCGAGCAGCCAGATCGTCTGTTGGGTTACAAAGAATGATGAATTGACCATTGTGGAGGTGTCAGCCCCTCCGAAACGGAAAGGAGACTGCATACGGAGTAAGAGCTAGATATGGGGGAAGCCGGCCACTACTGGTGTTGGAGTCCCCACTGGTAAGAAATAGAGTGTGAATGAGTGGCTGTAGAAAGGAAGAAAAGAAACAAGAGACACACCTGGAACTTTTCATAGACATGACAATGAACACAATGAGAATCAGCTATCCAGTGCAACTGATCATTCCTTTGGATTGACCAGGGTGGGGAAGATGTTGGGAATCATGGACTCAGCATGACGCAATAACGCACGCATTGCAGGTAAACCACTCCCTGTGGTGATACAACAGCAAAGGAGCTACATTAGGCAACACTTCTCCAATGTGATTAACAGCGGACGCTGCTAGGGTAACAGGCCAGTAAACACTTCCCTTGCTGTGACATAACAGCGGACCCTGCTGCTGCTGGGGCAACAGTCAACATTATAAGAAGCCAGCTGAGGACCGAGCATGGCAGTGTGTGTGTTTTACCGAGACAGAGAACAGTGGAAGGCAGTGTGAGCTGACAGAAGACAGTGGTTAGCCAACACGGAGAGACGGACAGTTCTGCAGTACAATGAGATTTGTTAATATGAAAGTAGCAACTGTGAAACGACTTGTTCAATACTTTGTGTTATAGTTACAGCATTGAGTAATAAAGTGACGTCACAATATACTGCTCACAGTCTTGTTAGACGACACACGTTTCTGCAGCAACGAATAAATATGCAATAATGGAAGAATTCTTAGAATCTGTACTTTCTACATGGTCCATGCTGAAGTTATATAATGTTGACACCAGGGGAGTTGAGATTTCAGTATGAAGTCTGAGTCAGTAGTTGAGAGTCTCGAATTGTATTGTTAGACACCGCTACTAAGCAATGACTAATGAAGACATAGCAGAATGAAAGGACTTAGTGTTTACAGTAGTAATTTGTAGTGTGTGTAAACTAGCATGTGTTATAATCCTTTGTAGTTATAAATGCTCAATAAATCCAATTACCAATCCAAACACCATGTCTGGTCACTAACATGTGACAATATTAACAAAGAATCTGACAGTAAACACTCACTGTTAAATTTCTGGTTCATCATTTTGGAACACATGTCCCATTACAACATGTTAAAATCAATTCACTTTACTTTGTATTCAGTTTATCTGAAGATATTTGGAACAATAATGGATGAGTGAGACCTGTTTCAATCAATGGTAGTTGAGAAATATTTTCTCTGTACATCAAAATTGATTATCATTTATGTCCAGTGAAACACTGTGGCAAATACAAAATAATTCACAAATAAAAAACTATAAAATTGTCTTATACATACATGATCCTTTAATTTATACTTCAAGTCATTGATGAATGATTCTCGTTTCTCAATGTGCGCTTCCATCTTTTGTTCTAGGGCTTCTCGCGTTTGTGAAATGAAATTATTTGCTTGTTCCTCCCTCTTCTTTGATGCCTCCTCAATCTTTGACATCTTGGCAGCCAAAAAAGCCATCCTGTTTGCTTCCAACGACTGAATGAGGAAAACAAATATCACACATGAATACTGTTCAGTAACAACACAACAGATAAGACAACATAAGGCATAACTTTCTGCAGAGACAATGTCTCAACATGAAGACATACAATTCAAAAACTGCTTATAGCAATTACATTCTGATACACAGGCCTCAAGATCCCGCAGAACAGACATATGAGTAAGAAACTACATTACAATGGTTATTTCTTAAAACGTTCGCTCACTCACTTGGTTATGAAATTCTCCTTCTTTGATGAAATACAGAAGATTTATCACCATGATACTAATCCTATAATCAGCTAGTTGAATCCAGCCTATGACAACCTATACCTCCTAGATCAATTTTAATAGTGTATTCCCCATATGCGGCTAGGTCTTCCACACTGTATTTTCCACTCTCGTTTTTCTGACTAAAATTTTGTATAAATTTCTCCCTGAGTTTAATAAATTAGGTACCACACTAATGCTGCAAGATTAATGCTGCACAATATTACCAATCTCCTCTCTTCAGCCGCTTTCAATTTCTCCTCGATGTTCTCCACTGAAACCTTGTTGCTGGGGGAGGAAGGTCGTTTGGGAGGAGTCACAGCCACAGGCTCTGCCAGGATTACTTCATATGACAGACCACCCTTAGATTTCTCTTGACACCTGATTTCAGTTGCTGAAAAACAAATTTAAACACATTACAATTAGATGAAAATTCTGGAAACCACAAAATATAAGCAAATGTAATATTTAAGACTCCTGCTTATTTTTAACCAATTACTGCAATTTTAACACATAATGTGAGTTCAAAGAAATGCTCTAGACTTGTTGTATTAAGGAGGTGTTTGGTTTGAATCTTGGCTGGGCCACTGGCTATTCTGCAGTGTTTCTGGTTTTCCTCAGTCCCTCCAGGATAGTATCTTCATTATGCCACAACTGCTTCCTTCAAATTCATCACCTACCTATCATTATACAATTCAACTCCATATACTCCAGGTACTGACAGTGTACTAAAATAAACCATACAAAAGAAAAAAACATGGTACACAAGTACTAATAAATCATTTTTGATGATACTTATTTCATTGAAGAATCACGATGGATGTGTCCAAAAGAAAGGAAATCGAAATATCTGTTAACCGTTTTTATGCAAGGCTTTTAAATTCGGTAATAATTTCACACATTTCCTTACTAGTTTATAAAACCTTTCAATTAAACCATATGTGGTGTTTCAATTTTAATATTCTGAGGTCCGGCAATTATAACCCAATAACCCAGACCACTTGGAATCATGCTGACCACAACATAGAAATGTGTTTTAACATAACAGGACCCAAACTAAAACTATGATTAACAGTATGTTTGCCACTGGTCCAAGATGTGTCTGTGAGCAGATATGCCTACAATTACTGAATTTTTGCACATCATCGTCTTGTTTTCTTATTTAAAAGCAACATTTTGGAAATTGGGCTCTGTATCCATTCTCATGTAAGAGACCACTTTAGCAGAGCTCCCTATCTCTGGATATGGACAAAGGATGATTGATAATGTACAGAAAGTCAATAATTGTATTAATATACCATCACTGAAAACTTTTAGATCCTATTTGTATATGCAAACTTAACAAGTCATGTCAGTATTATTAAAACAACATATTTTTAATNCAACTTTAGCGGATAGAGGGCGTTGCGTGGTCAATGCAACGGATCCCCACGGCTGTTACTTTCAGTTTTCTAGACCGAAAATCAAAACCATATTCATATAGAATTTTAGAACACATTAAACTTAAGGAATACTTTCTATCATTCACTTCAGAATTGTCTTTCTTCCCATTCCCCTATAAAAAGGAGAGAACGTATCAAAAGAAATATAAATATGTATCTATAATTTTATATGGTGCAAAGCTTCGTTTCTCACCACAGGGGAAAATATTAGACTGAATGTGATTGAGAAGAGGGTGCTGAGAATATTTAAACCTAAGGAAGAAGTAGCAGAAAGATGGAAGAAAATTCATGAAGAAGAGATTCCTAAGTTCTACTTTTTGCAAAATATTTTTATGGGGGCAAATTACAGATGTGTTGTGTGGGGTAGAAAACAGGCATGTAATGGGATGAGAAATGTACATAAAAGTTTAGCTGCAGTACCTGAAGGGAAGAAACTGGAAAACATATAGACAAATTAAAGGATAATATTAAAGTTGGTAGGCTGTTGTGATCATGGTGATATATTTTCGCCCACCTGAGCGACTATCAGCTTCTTAATTCCCACCCCCGTTAAGTTAGGTACAGAGTTACAAATTTTTAAGGACTCCTGTGAAAATTATATTTAAAATTGAAGGTCTCCATTACCATCAAGAATACAGGCCATGAAAAATGCTCTTGCTCCTCAATGCTGCTCCAGGGTCTTACATAGGTAAATCGAGGTCTGTCTTGCAGTACGAGGGACCACAGAAGTTTCCCATGGATTCCGGTGTTCCCGGTTGCACAGATGAGTCACCCGGGTAAGGGGTACAGTATTGGCATACCACAATACACGATGCAGGTTGCAGACGTGCCAGGGGCTAGTATCGATCTCTGTGGCGGCGCCGGTTCGTCTGTGCCATATGATAACGTCATGGTCAGCGCCCCCTAACTGGGGAAATACGGTGCCCTGTCTCACTTTCAGTGAACTTGGACGGGCTACACAGCGCCGGTCCTGTCCCCCAATCTGCCTTCAAAAGCAAACTCAAAATTTTGAAACAACTACAATAATTTGCAACACTGCAAGAACTAAACAGCGAATAAATATTCAACAAAGCTTAATCAATTTATGATGCTAGTTTTCGTCTGCAAAACAGTGGATGAGGGAAATGTGGGCCCACAAACGAGAAGCCCAGAAATGCCGGGCATGTCTACGTCTGAAGAGTACAGTCTGCTATGTTTAATGCCATGCAGTTCGGAGAAAGCCACACGTTTCGAAGAAGCATAATAGAGTCATCTTCATGGTCGAAATCCAATGTCCCTACAGTTGTCCAAATAATTTCACACGCATCGA